TTTACAACCAAATCAGCACGCATCAAATGTTGCCGGAGATCCCTATACCAAAGCCCTAAGCCATAAACCCTATACCAAAGCATCTATACAATTCTTCCAAAGGTTCTACTATCAGTTTACGCCAATTTGATCTACAGGCTATTGAAAGCCTTCACGTTATGGAAGACTCTGGTACCATTGGTCGCTTCAGAACAAATTAACTAATTCAGTTCGTGTGCTTACACATGCCCATATGTGCAACCGGGGTTACTAAGCCTTACACATGTGAGTAACAACTGCAACGTAAATCAATCTTATAGTTAGAAAAAAAAGCATATCTTTGTTGTATAATTTGATTCTTCCGTGTTTCCTAGTCTTTCCGAGCCGAAGTTTATATGTAGGTGAGTAGTGGTTATGTCTAATCAGCTGTCGTTATTTTGCACAACGTGAGCTTCCATTTATTTATGCACCATGATTTCCAATGTTGTTCCCCGTGCTGCCAAATAAATGTCGGTATAGCTGTGATCTTAATACCATTAAAGAAAAATAGATTTCGACAAGAGAAGCTCTTCTCAGCTTTTCGTGACCCACTTTTGCAATTGCAGGTATCAGTATGTGTACTGCAATTATGGTCGTCATATACCTGCAATGCTCCATTTGTTTTGCTGTCTTTTACCATTAACTTAACATTGGTCCTACTTCACTGCTTCATACAGTCGTACATGCAACACCAAGTCGTATTGCTAGATAAATGCCGGTATTGCTGTAATCTTCTAAGTATTTCAATAATGTATTTGTAAAAAGAGCAATATTTTTTCAATAGCAGCTATTCGTAGCATTTCGTGACCCACTACTATGATCGTAGGTATCGGTATGTGTCCTGGAAGTATATTCGTCATACATCTACTAGCCGATCCAATCCCCACTTCCATTCTCAGTCATACCTAAGTTACGAGGACATTCTGGTATGCACGAATTATCGTATCAAGTGTATCCAGTGTGTTCTTAGTCCTACATTTTCCAATGCTATAGTTACCATTACCAACATCCCTATTACCGCGGTTAGAGCTGCAGTTCTGCTACTTCAATATTACTAACCGAGTGAAAGCTCTGTACCTCCCCATTTCTACGTGTTCCACATTACATGTTTCATCATATTCTGGGTTAATCATTGCTGTGCGATTAGCTCTGGGAAATCGGTGCGTTGTTCAACAGTTGGTATTCACACTATTGCAAGCCAACCAAACATTATCGGTGCATGTGCCAGTTGTTGAGTCCTGTGTTTGCTCACATTCTGATTAGTATGTAACTACCAAGCCTTAATCCCTGAATATTTACGCTTGTATTTAATAGAACCACGGGTTAGCTCGGTAATACATTGAAGCTGGAAGATAAATACTGCTGACAATAATACATATTTCAATATGTGGTTGCTTGTTACATGTTGTATTCAGCAAATTGGCTCTTGATATCTTGTCCTTTTGCCCTATACCAACAAAGCTCTACATGCTTGCTCTGAGTTGAGCCCATCCGAAGTCGGTGCATGAGTTACAGTAAGTCACGTCCATTCATTCCTTGGTCGAACTGGATGTTGTCTTTTTTGAAAACCAATGTAAAATTGCCACACCTAGCAAATGATGACCATTAAACAATCATGTATGCTACAATGTGTTGTAGATTCCTGTTATTGTACTGACCAGAGGTCTGTACGGCAAGCACCTGTTAAAGCCATACAGACATGAAAAGGCAGCAATTAGGGACCCCCCGCCCAAACACGAAGCACGCATAGGTCGATGTCTTACATATTTATCTGCATATCTCAAGCCAGCATATTGGGTTTGNNGCTTGCTGTTTTTCGGACAACTCCTTTAAGCTTGCTGTTTTTCGGACAACTCCTTTAAGTCTACAGGCATGATTTGGCAGTGTTCGATTTGTTCGAGTTTTCCCATAGTGAAGGCTTCAATCGTAAACAGGGATCGAAGAAAACCCCGCGCTTAAAAGCCAGACTAAAATTGTAAAACAACCAGTGAACTGGTCTTCCCGTAGTAACATCATCACGCAGAGCTTACTGGCTTTGCAATCATCCGACATAAAGATTTGCCAAATGGATGGCTGAGTGCTCCGTTGCGGTTAGGTACAAGCTGCGGGTCTTAAACAAGCCAAGATTGAATCAACCATTGACACAACGGTAGGCTCGAGATATAAGTTGAATCCTTCAACCCAATGAGAGTACCTGTAAGCTTCTTTGATTTAGCCACGTCTATATTTTCCCTGCGATGGTCTGTCACCGGGAGGGTGAGCTGTATGGTCATATATATATATATATATAGTCTATTCCGTCTAACTTTTGATTGTAGTCGCAGAGTATAGTGTGCCTCCAAAACCCGATTCTCATTGAGGCCCCTAAATTACGAATCCCAGGGATGATGAAAGTCGAAAGAATCACTGACGCAGCTCGTCTGAGCCTTCCTGCCTGACAGGGCAGCCGGGTTTAGTGTTGAGGGTTGCAGGGTTCAGGATTTGAGGGGGGAGGGCTTTGGGTTTAGGGTCTGGGGCCTGGGGATTTAGATTAATGATTAATGAGTTTAGATCGGGCATACACATACAGTGAGCTACCATCACCTGCTATTTCGATGACTGAAACCCCTTCGCCGTTTTGAAGAAACTCCAAGAGCACCAATAAGCGCTACACCCTGAAGTATAGAGAGATCCGCAATATGAATCAAGAATATCCTTCCTTAGGTTTTTGCAGGTCATGGGGTTCTGGTACTGCCAAAGCAAATCATAAACATCTCCGAGACAGGTGCTTGGTTAGGGACATATGCAGTAGAAGCCCGAAAGTTGGAAGCCCAATCCTTAGGAGTAATGAATAGGGAATCTCAGCACTAATTGTCCTTAAACCGGTTTCCAACATTTTGGGGTTCACTGCACTAGAGGGTTTGGTTGCTGTTGCTTGAACCATCCTCTACCTGCAGCGATTGATTCGAGGCTTCAATGACCGTGCCGTGAAGCACAGCAGGTCAACAAAGCCTCCCCCAACCACCTTGAACACAGAATATCACCGCTTTTGCTGAGCTCAAATGAGCTCATCACCTCTACTTACCATTCCGGGATGTATAGCACCTCTACTACGTACTGGACATAGCAAAATATGGGAAATCCCAGCACGATCCCTAAACCTCACCTGTGACCTTACAACATTGCAGGTTCCGCTGCCGTAATTAGAAGACAGAACCCTCAACATAGTAAGTTTTCAACCGGCATGCCCTACAACTTCTTTCATTGGTGTTGTCATGCTAACCCCTGGTTCCTTGGTACACAGCCCTCAGAGTTCTCTACCCACCGAGTATATACTTTGGCCATAGAGTACCCGTATAGAGACGACTGCAAGGCCAAAGGATATACTTCATGACTATATGGGTACATGGCCCCTTGGGGCAACAACAAGGGTAGCCTTCCCTCTTCGGCTCGGTTCGAAGAAAGTTTCGGGCTGAGGTTCTTAATGTTTCAGGGTGTGGGCTTAGCCTAGGTTTGGTGCTTAGTTCGGTCTTAGGATTTCTTTTCAGGGTTTCAAGGTTTGCGGTTTTCTAAGTGAAAGGCTAGTAAGTGCCTTAATAGTTGGAATAAGGTTCCAGGCAGTTTTAGTCAAAACGTATTGAAGTATAATAAGGAGCCCTGAGGAATAGTATTGGTATATTATTTAGGCTTCTATAGTACTTGGGGGGGGGCCCTCAAAAACAGAGTCGTCTCCCCCCTTCACCTCAGCAAGGTTTAGGGTTTAGGGTTTAGCCTTGGAGGCCCGCACTTGCTTACGTCGTAGGTTGCTGCCCCTTTATCATACCATTTAGCAGTACAACTACCAATAGCACTGGACTTCCATGGAAGGTTCGCGTGCGCTTCGGTTAACCATCTGCTACGGCAAACACTCCTAATGCGGCCAAAGCTTGACAATTGTGACTGCCTATTTTCGGGCGGATGTCATTTACATGAGGCAAGCCCCAACTGCCCTCCTTCTTAAGGTGACTTTCCATGACTTCCCCTACGCCCAAAGGTGACGATGCTTACTTACCGATTCCGGACTATTTGTACTCCCTCCGGCCTGCTACGAACTACCGGCTCCTCGTCCCCCCCGCGCGCGGTAAAATCTAAAGCCGCAGTTCAGCTCCAAACCTCTAACCCAAAACGCCCAGTGGTTCAAAAATATTTTAGCAAGTCATAATGAGGAGGCCTCCAACGCAGGATTGAGGGCCACAGGTATGAATCACAACCTCGGAAAAACCGCTTCAGGTGGAGCAGGAATGGAAGGATTTCTGGAGTTCGGCTTCGCTCTGAGGCCCAAAGGTTCAAGGATTAGGCTTATCACAGATGTAGTACTTTTTTGGGAAGAGGGTGTGGGGGAACCTGTACACTCTGAACGAACCCAAGCTTTGGCGACGAAATAGCCAAACAGGGGATCCGAAAACCCAAACCCTTAAATCCTAAAGCCTGAAAAGGATCTGGTATCCGGCTGGCTGGATGCAACAGCTACTTTTTGCAATGTCCCAGCAAGAATGCTATATCCTGGTTGTAATATGAGTCTACAAAAAATGCAGGCCATGGTCCTTTAAACTTCAAGGTAGGTTCAGGGCGTGTAGGGTCTAGCTCTAGCAGCAGTATGCTTAGAGGCAGAGGGAAAACTAGGTCCACATCACCGGTTCACTCCCTATTATGCACCCTAGGCCCTAGACCCCAAAGGCCTCACCTCCAGACTCTGAACTCTAATCCCATACAGCCTTTAAACCCCTAGATTGCAGGGCTTCTCGGGTATAGGGTTTTAGGGTCTAGGGTTTTAGGGCTTTAGGTTTTTAGGGTTTAGGACTTATATAGGGTTTATGACAAAGCAAACAAGGACTAACTTGTCCACATTCCACGCCACCGCCTAGAGCACATCAGTCCCACAGCCCCGCCCTAAGACTCAAAACAACAACTCGCTGACCGTCACTTCCCAGCGAAAAGCACCGGCCTTGCCTTCCGCCGTCGCGTCAGAAGAAGGTTCCTCTAGAAAGTCTCCGCTATGTGTGTATATATATATAGATATGTATTCTAGACTTTTTTACGTTTTTAGCCAATCTTACAAGTAACGGGCGAGCCGCCAGAAATTGATGATGGCGGCTATCAACGGACGTTGTCAACGGAAGGACTGCAGATACATGATCAGGAGCCCCAACGAATAATGTGGGTGATTATTTCAGGCTTCCGAGTTAATTAGCCTGCGACCATGCTTAGTTGTTCCACAGGAACTCAGTTCTACCAGGGCGCTGCTGAATCTGCTGACAGAGCGGTGAACTTGTTTTGAGGGCGTGCAGGATACCTGCTTAAGATCCTTCCGATTGCAAGCCCCGACAGAAGCGGCGCCACACGACTGACATCTCAAAACAGATCCCAGAGTGTACAGAAGAAACCCAAAACCAAAACCAGAAGATGTAAACCCAAAGCAGGACTACCATGGCTGCAATGCCCTGCCAATAACCGCAAACAATGACAATATTGCACCGTCGGAGTATTTCAGTCAGAAAGATCCCAATATATAGAATTCGAAATGAGCAATTGGATCAGTAGCATAAAGATACATAATAAGACACCCCAGATCCTAAGGAGCCCCAATACGATACCGTTGTTGTTAGATCTACTACGATAGCACTACCTTCAAGTAGCAATAACATGTTCTAACACAGGAGCCTTAATCATTAGGATACATGTGTACATCTTAGAGTCCTAGAATCATGATGGATGGAACATTGTGGTGTATTCGTTCTCACTAAGTCTTCAAAACTCTGCTTTACCATTCCATACTACATAATACCCTTCCACAACAAAGGCTACAAACAACGACACTGCCCATATCAGCCTCCATATCATCATGGCACCCAAAAAACCTCGTACGAGTTAGCCTTTAAACTCAATCTAAAACCCTAATCCCTAAACCCTAAACCCCTAAACCACACTACATAAAGCCCAAAACCCAAAACCCCAAACCCCAATCCATAGTATGCACCCTGAGGAAACCCAAGACAATTCGGCTCCAGCGCCCTCGTTAAGCCCCAAACAGATGTTCTAGGTTTAGGGTAGCTGCGCTTGGTGTGTTTTGTGGCATTGGGAAAACGCACCGTTCTGCAAACATGGCTAAACGTGCGGGAAAACGCATACATGCGGAAAACGCAGCAGGTCTTGGACAGCGAAAATCCTCAAGAAGGGTCATGTCTTCGTTGCGACTTGAGCGGTTTTACCGTGGTAAAACGCACGCTTTGCGTGGCAGGGTTTTGAAAACAAAAATTGTTTTTTCCCTACCCTCGGTGTGGGGCTGTTAGATTTTAAAGTCAGCTATTACTCCTCGCCCGCTCCTCGCCGTCATCTCACCCCCCAGACTAGCGTGAGACTCCCGTGAGACTCCCTGGAGTGCCCAACCCCACAGACTAGCGTGAGACTCCTGTTTGTATAGGTATGGCGAATGCATTATCTGGATAGGGTGGGGATGTTCGAAGTAAAATAAGTTTTTGTTCGTGTGTGCGCGTGCGTGTGCGTGTGAAGCAAGTTTGGGGTTTCGAGGCCTTTAAGGGCTTTGGGTTTGGAGGCGTTTAAGTTCAAGGGCTTGGGGTTCGGAGGCCTTTAAGGGCTTGGGGTTTGGAGGCGTTTAAGGGTTTGGGGTTCGGAGGCCTTCAAGGGCTGCACTGCTTTTGGGTGTCAGGCCTGCATTGCTTCGGGATGTGCTTCCAATGTACGGAATTGCCTCCCCCCCCACCCCCCCCCAACCGGGGGAACCGCCAGGTCGAAACCAGGAGAATGCCAAAAAAAAACACAAAAACAGTCCCGGACTCGTAGAGGCGCAGTCACCAGGTTTAGGGGTGTAGGGCTTAGGGCTTAAA